GGCGGCGGATGTTTGTTGCAAGCTGATAGCCTCCGCGGATGGGCTTGCCATCACTGTCCCTATAGGCAGGGTTGCCCTGGCCGAAGGCCGAGTGTTCCCCTTTTCGGCGTCTTGGGTCGTTGTGCGGAAGTAGCTGGCCACCTCTCCTGAGAGCGTGTTCTTTTGGGCCAGCCTGTCTCCACTCACGAGGAAGTCGAGCCTGTGGATGTGGCTCTTCTCTGACGCGCGTATGGGAACGAGATCTTCTGGTGTTCTCATCAGAGGAAGCTGCCGATGCAGCAGGAGCGGCACCCGGTGGAGGTGCCTGAGAGGGCTCCTGTGCGATCCCAGATGGATCATCCGATGGAGGCGGGTCTCCCTGCTGTGTAGAGCTCGGCGCAAGTGGCGCTTGTGCCGATGGTGATGATGATTCAGACTCATCAGGGTCGAAATCAACCTCTTCCTCACCATTCACGTCCATCATGAGGATGGTGACATCATCCTCATCTAACCCGCAGCCATCGCCATCTACTTCTTCTGATGTCGAACTACCAATGATGATGGCCATTGGCGTATCTGGTACAGGCAGGTTTCCCTGCATAGCCGGCGTCTGGGCGTCGCTCGGCTGTCCCGGAGTAGGAGGCACTGTTGTCGGCTCAGGCTCGTCGCCGAGCATAGGCTGCCCAGCAATGTTACGCATGGCCGTATGGTTTGGCCTCATTCCCACCGCCTGGAGACCCCATCCTGGCGGAGGAAGATCATGACCGCGCATAGCCATCGCCATTTCCAGAGCACGACGCCATCTACCACGGGAGTATATCAAGTGTCTCTGCACTTCCTGAGGATGCACGCTGTCAATGAGAGTCAGAGCTGCCAAAATTAGCTCTGAACTACCGCAAGCATCATTATCCTGTTCTGTCATGATGTCAGCTTCGATGTGTTCTTGACTCTCAGGATAACCAATTGTAAGTATCTCATGCATCCTCATGAGGGTCTGCAAAAGGGCACGTGGTCCATATTCGCCTGGAGCAAGCGAACCAGGAGGTATGAACGGAATATCTGGTTCGCCTGCAATGAAGGCCTGAACAAATGCCTGAGACTCCATTTCAATTAAGTCTTCAGTGGTCTGGGGATATTCTCCCATCAAAGAAGGCCTGTTTCCAGGCGGGATTTCGGGCGGAGGTTCGAGGTTCCGTTGAACCTCGGAAGGCGAAGCCTCTATAGTGGTGTCCTCGTCGTCGCTCTCGTAGGCCATGATGTTGCCTGGGTTCCCGAACATCCAGTCGAAGAAAGAAAGAGGCTCGTTTCCAAGCGTACCGTGTTCCACGGGAGTGAGTTCGTTACTGCCCGTGACGAACCGGCGGACGTACTCGAGGTAGTACGCGTACAATCCATGACCATACCCCTCGAGCTCGTCGATGTTGTCCACGCCAACAACCCAAGGGAAAAATATCTGTTCCATAGCCTCAAAGTCCTGGGGGCTCAGATATTCAATGGATGGCGCACTTGAGCCAAAATGGACTTCGGACGACATGCCCTTTCCATTTCCCTTCGCTGGACAATCTCGCACAAGATGGTCAGAACTACCACATTCATGGCATTTGAGAACCTGGCCGTCTCTACCTCGCGGGTTTCCCCGCCTACCTTTACCTTTACCCGAGGTCTCTCTACGGCCTTTACCACGGCCTTTTCCCCCAAAGAATATCTCATCATGTTGTTCATCTGAGAGCCTCTGGAGAAATGCCGCGATACCTCGCCCGTTCAACCTCCGACGACCACGCTTGCCTTTACCCTTTCCTTTAAAACTTCTGCGTATCCTCCTTCTAACACGACGCACTGGTTTTCGTGTGAACCTCCTCCACCTTCGTTTAGCCTGTTGTAACAGCCAGAATAAATGCTCAGCACGCTGATTGTCGTTATCCATATTCATGATATCTGACCAATCTAGAGCTTCAACACCATCTGATGATATAGTGTCTGTATCGGTGCCGGAGTCGAAATCTTCGTCTCCTAAATAGGTGGATACACCGTCGGTTAGGGGATTTGATTCCCCCCATAACGAGCGGTGTGGTTGTGGTTCTCTAGAAGGAGGGCTGGTTGCCCAGCTTGGTTGTGATCGATCCCCTGCTAATAAAGCAGTGGATTCTCCTGGGTCATCGGCCCATATGTTTGAGGGCCCGTTTCCAGGCTGGGCTTCAGTAGTCAAGGTAGTGTAGAAATTTCCACTACCAGATCCCCTTCCTCTTCCAAACACGGATCCTATGTTACCAGGAGATCGTTCGGATAGGTGACCTACCGAACGCATCCTTTCCAGCAACTCATCATACTGTTGTTGTGTTCGAGGCATTTGGTGATTGAGTGGCTGTAAGAGTTGCATGGCTTTCTGGTTGCCGACGCCTAAGGCGCGGAATAGGATAGTGGTTAGCAGTTGGAAGTTAGGAAGGTCGAATCCCACCGACTGTGCCTCAAGTCGGGCCATTTCGAATCGGGTAAGAGTGACATCGATTCGTTCCCCGTGAGGCACATGGAAGTCGATGAGTTGTGTGCCGGAAGTGAGCTGTCGCTCATCTTCCAGGCGTTCGAACTTCATGCTGAGGAGGAACATGATGTAAGTTACTGGGTCTGTGTGGACCCCATCAATGTCAGCACCATAGTTTATAATGTCAGGCGGTACCCTCATGGCGAGTGTCCTCGCTAGGCCACCTAGGCCGCGTTGTATTGCGGCCGCTTGGGCCTGTGGCGTCATACGTCCGCTTGTAACGTTGAGCCATGCGTTGACCTCGTAGATGTACTCACGAAAAGGTACATTACCTTGAGGGTCCCAATATGGGCCATGTGTTTGCCCATCGGTGCTGTTGTCTCCACGACGCATGTGTCCGATTGCTGCCCCCAGCGCGAACCATATGATAGCGAAAACGATTAGCCCGAGAATGTGTAACGAAGGACGGTTATGATGCGCGTTGTCGCGCTGGGGTAGCGCCTTGTCGAGTCTTCGAGGCGCTCTGTCTGGCGGGTCTCCCCGCCCTTGCTTCAAGTATTGCGCTGTTAGCTCGTTGCCGAGCGGTTGGTAGTAACGCAATGATGAAGCGTATATGGTACCAGTTTGGTCGTCTAGACGTCGTACCTCTCGTGTTGCTTCTTGCTCTTGAATAGATCCTCGTAAACGTACTGGGAGTGGTGGCGCAGGGTGGTAGGTGGTCACGAAGATCGTGCCGAAGAATATGAGGCTAAGAAGAGCAAGAGCTGACCGCACGAGAGTGCGGCCAGCTCCGCTACCAAGTCGAAAATGAGCCTGGTAACTCAAATAGGGCATATAGCCTGGCAAATTGCATCCATCGCTCTGCTGTGAAGGTACAGTATGAGGGGTGGATGGGTAAGATAGGATAAGATCGATGTAATGATCTTTCCAGCACATTGCGAACACTCGCGGTGTCCGGGCAAATAGGGCGCGCGTGCCTTGAGCCCAAGGCAGCGGCGCGCGAGCTATGCTCCCGATGCTGTAACATCTCCCAAAGAGCTACCCTTAAAGTCGAGACACAACAGAGGCCCTGGCGACAGAAGCGAAAGAGGGGGAGAACAGGGCGGGAGGGAACCGAAGAAGGATATGGCTATGGAGTCCAAGGGTCCCCAGGTTTGAACGGTTCGTTTTGCAATGACACGTCAAGTCATTTCGCTCACAACCTTCCCGTGCACGCACTGACAGGTTAACTCCTACATTCGGTGGGGAATATTTTTGCTACCGCGTGCCACTCGTCTAGGCGAAGCTCGAGACACAACAGAGGCCCAAAGTCCCAATGGGTTCACTGGGAGGGCGAGGAGGGCTATAGAAAGACAGCCGCCTCAAGGTCCCTTTGGGAGCTCAGCAGACAGTTCACCATGCAGTCAGCCAAATTCGGTGGGTAGGACGCGGCGAAGGAGGTCCACGTGGCCCCGGATGGGGCGTTGCCCTCGAGGATAATGCGTGGTTTTCCCGAGGCCGAGCAAATCCCTCAAAAACTGCGGCAGCGCCTATCCAGCTTTAAAGTGTCCTGGGAGTCAACGCCGAAAAACAAAAACTTGGCGCGTTTTCAAACGGACCCCAAACTGACACTGGTCACAAATCCAATAATGCATGCTATGTGCATTATCTAGACGCTTCAATTCGTGCGTGTGTGCCAAATCCTACTAGTGATCGAATAGACGGCCCAAGAGAGCCCCAACACGGCCCAAGAGGCGCCCAAGACGGCCCCAAAAGAGCCTCAAGGGGGACTCACGGGGGGGGGGACTCGAACTTACATTTCGAGCCCTCCGCCCCAAGAGGACCCCCCAGACTGCCAACAGGCGCCCAACAGTCCCCCAGGAGGCTCCAAGAGGCCCAAAAGATGCTCCCGTAGGCCCCTCAAACGACTCCTAAAAGGCAGAATCACCCGTGGAGTTCATCTCTCGTCTGGGGGTCCGCGAAGTAGCGCAAGCCACTCGACTATATTCTCTTTTTCTCTCTATCTCTCTTTCGCTTTCTCCCTCTCTCTCTATATATATATATATATGTACAGTTCGCTCTCTCTCGCACTTTCTTTATTATATGGTGTATGTTCTCTCTCTCTCTCTCTCTTTCGCTCTCTCGCTCTCTCCTCTCTCTATATACCAAGTCGCTCTCACGCTCTCCCTCGCTCTCATTATCTCTGTCGGTCGTTCTCGATGTATATATATATATATATATGTGCGTGTGTTGCTCTCTCACTCTGTCTCTTTCTCTCTCTCTCTATATATATAGATGTCCGTGACTCCCTTCTCTCGTCTCGCGTCTCTCTCTCTCTATATCTCTCTCTTCTCTCTCTCTCTCTCTGGCTCCTTCTCTCTCTCTCTCTCTCTCTCTCTATCTTTACAAACAAAGAAACAGTTCTCACTGAGGAGTAAGAGGAAGGGGAGAAGGATGAGGAGGAGCAGAAACAGGAACAGGAGGAACACACAGACCTAAAGAGGACAAACTTTCCCATCACCACTCGGTTGCTGACTAGGCGGTCGGTGGGTGCAGCCGTGTCCTTTCAGCCCGTTCTGGCACTCGGAGCACTTGGTCGTCTCGATGTAATCCTCCGATCGTGCGAAGTCCCGCCGACGACCCCCGATTAGAGAACCATGACGACCTGGAAGGTGGTAAGGGATAGAACGACGAGCTGGAATATGACAACGAGAACACTTGGGAAGGAAGTTTAGGACAACGGAGGCACACCGCTCAGAAAGAGGGATAGGGAGAAATAGACAGATATATATATATATATATATATAGACAGAGAGAGGGAGAGAGAAACAAACCAACAACAACAAACGGCACATGATCGACCCACACACCCGGAGAGGAAGATAAAAGTGTGAGGCATGGCGAATGGCAACGGTTTCAATACACTTGATTGGGCGACGGGAAGTTGCAATGCTGAGTGTACCGATCTTGGTATACTGTGCCAAAGACTGTGATGTGCTGCGCCGTGCTGGATTGCGGTGTGCCATGCCTCCATTGTGCTCTATAGCGTTGTGGATCGAGTCCTCCTTTGCATCTGGGTCCTGGCCGAACTGATCTGGATCTTAAGCTCGAGCTGCCTGAGCACACAGTAGCTGCCCCATAGCTAGTTGAAGTGGGAACGTGCGGGGCGTTCAATCGACTCGACCTCAAAATCCGACTCGGCTCCGAAAAGGAACGACACGACACAGGGCACAGGCTCACGGACGCGCCACAGGATGTGCCAGTGGCGCAGTAGGGGATGCGCCAGGGGGCGTGTCAGGGGACGTATCAGGGGACGTGCCCTGGACGTGTCAGCGACCTGCCACGGGACGTGCCAAGGCGTGTGGCATGGGGCGGCCAGAGGACGTCACAAAAAGGAACGTTGCAAGGGGCGCGCCACGGAACGGGCAGGGGAAATCGCCTGGGGACGAGCCAGGGAACGCGACAAAGGACGAGCCAGGGAACGTGCCACGCCGAGTGGCGTGCTAGGGACCGTGCCAGGGCACGTCACGCCAGAAGGTCGAAAGGGACGCGCTAAGGGACGCGCCAGCGCGCCAGGAGACGCCCCACAGACGGGCGGGGTTGGACTGCGATGCGCTCTACTGCGACAAGGGTTTCGCTCGAGATTCCCTAACAAATCCTCACTTTAGACATCCGCTTGGGCGACCTGGACACGTGAAATCAAGCGCTTCGCTCAACACATCCTCAACACATCCTTATGCTAGACATCCGCCTGGGCGACCTAGACATGTGAAAGCAAGCGGTTCGCTCGAGCACCTCCTCATGCTAGATACCAGCCTGGGGAATCTGGACGCGTGACAACAAGCATCTCGCTCAAGACATCCTGCACACGTCCTCATGGAAGACGTCCGCCTGGACGACATGGGCACGTGAAACCAAGCGTTTCGCTCAACACATCCTCAACCCATCCTCATGCTAGACATCCACCTCGGCGACCTGGACATGTGAAAGCAAGCAATTCGCTCGAAACATCCTCAACACATCTTCATGCTAGACATCCGCCTGTGCGACCTGGGAACGTGAAAGCAAGCGTTTCGCTCGAGATGTTCTCGACACCTCCTCATGGTAGACATCCGCCTGGGCGACCTGGACACAGAAAAACAAGCGTTTCACTCAAGACATCCTTAACACATCTTCATGTTCGACATCCGCCTGGGCGACCTGGGCAAATGAAAACGAGCGTCTCGCTCGTCAATTCCTCAACACATCCTCATGCTAGACATCCGCCTAGGCAATCTGGGCACGTGAAAACAAGAATGTCGCGTGAGACATCTGCCTGGGTGACCCGTACGTGTGAAAACAAACGTCTTGCTCGAGACATCCTCAACAACTCTTCATGCTGGACATCTGCCTGGATAACCTGGACGCGTGAAACTAAGCGCCTCGCTCGAGACATCCTCAAGACCTGGGCACATGAAAACAAGCATGTCACCTAAGACATCCTCTGGATTGAGGTCCCCAGGAAAACACAATCCATAACACAACACAAGCGTTTCGCTCGAGAGATCCTCAACAAGTTCTGCAAAACAAGCGTTTCGCTGGAGACATCCGCAACGAACGAACACGTTTATTTGACCATGTGTTTCATAGGTATGAATTTCAAAACCCAGCGTTTCGCTCGGAACATCCTCAACTGTTTCACTCGCTGGACCTATGTGACCTCGTTATTTCATCGCTGAACACATCCGCTGGCCGCCATCCCTACTCGAGCCGAGGCCAGGGGATCAGACACTGAAAAATATCCCTGGGCCCGAGCCTTTTCCGGGAAAAACAAGAATGGACTGGAACAGGGGTCGCAAACCCTGGGAGAGCCGAAGAAAACCCGTACACATCCAGTCTGGAGCACCTGCTCCACCACCTTCCTCCTCCCTCCTCTATGCTTAGCCGCCGCCACGGCTTAAGCATTGAAGGGCGGCCGTAGACCTCACGGCATGTGTTTTTTTGGTCCATGACCTGTCAGGTCTGATGTCGCAACACAGGCTGCTAGTGGCCATCATGGCCGGGGGAGTATGTCTTCAGCTGAAGTTGGAGAAAAATGCTCGAGGGAGATGGAAGGACCTGCGACGCCATCGCAACTACTACCACAAATATGGCAAAGACATCCCAATCCTCTCTCATCCTCTCGCCGTGACAGACAGGAATATATTACCTTGGCGTGCGAGAATTTCGGTTGTGCTACACATGTTGGCACGACACAACGTGCCCAACTCCGAATCCAGCAGCGACGACTTGGACGAATACGGCAGGTGGAAGGTGAATGGTGCCCTGGCCGGTATACAAACAGTTCTGCGGGTATCACTGTGACGTTTGGATGCCAAGTACAACAGCGACATTTCATACGTATCACAATCCCAAGACAGGCCCTCGTTGGTCGCGGTCTTGCAGTCAGAGTGGCGTCATCCTTTTACGATCTTACTTGCACTGCTGTTTACTTCCCGCCGAGAGTGAAGACAAAGGAGGGGGGAGCCAAGCATGACCGCACGGCGCGGGGCCTCAACGGCTGGATCGCATATGTATGGGGCAAAACACCGAGCAGAAGCGTTCCCATATGATGCACGGACTTGAACGATGGCATGAGAGTTGCACCACCACCGAGCTGCATGAATATTCCGACAGCTGTTGGAGAGATGGGGGCGCGGACTGGACACTTGGCGGGACAGTTACTACGCGAGCTGCTGGAGAGCCACCATACGACGGCCAAAAGTGTAGATCTTGGCCAATCTACTTGGGATAGAGCAAGCGGCGTTGAAAACTTTAGTGCCAAAGAGGCTGCGGAAATGGTGGCGTATCAGGCTCTCGTTTAAACGTGCTCAAATCAGCTCTATCTACGGTTTCCCTCAACGCGCCCTCGAGGTCGCCAGGTCCACTCTGGAGCCAGACCTCGGAGGGCAACGCTATCCAAAACAGCCCCTACAACGGACTGAAGATAGCTAGGCCACTGAGGCCCGTCTCCCGTCAAAAACTTCATCTTCCTACACAGGCGGGCAACCTCCTCATTCACTTCTTTTCTCACCCGCCTGGGCTCAAGCCTCTATCTCTCTACGAGCGTGCCAAACCGACCATCTTCGTGAATTGTTCCAGCTTGTCCCTGGTCATCGGCTTGGCCATCATATCGCGCCAGGAAGCGGACCCCCGCGTGCTTCATATTTCCTGGCCCGCGCTTCTTCACAATGTGCAGCGCGCATGCTTAGGAACGTCGCCTGGCGCCCTGTCTTGGTGAGCTTCACCGCGTCCGATAATTTCAGTCTCTCTCCCATCATCTCCAGCAACTTGTCAACTTCGTCGCTCGGTCCAACGATCAGGAAGTCGTCTGCGCGCCTCACTGCCTTCATCCTGTTGCTCAGCTTCATGAAGAGACACCCGTCGTAGTGGCCCCTGACCACCTCCAGCTCCCCGATGGTGCTCGCGCCGTGATCCCTCCAAGCCTTCGGTGCTCCTTTGAGTCCTGGAAATGCGCGCAACGCCTCCCGAATATGTTCTTCAGGTACTCCGGCTGCTGGTGGCGGCTCCAGGAAGATGCGGTCCTCGGTGGGCGGCGCCTGGTAGACAGCCCCACTGCAGTCGCCAAGCGCCACCGCGTGATCGCGCAACTCCGCGTTGACCAGCATCGCCTTCAGGTGCGGAAGTGAGGGGGTCGTGGCCACGAAGTTCTCGCGCCCGTGTACCTATTGCTCTTCTTGCTGCCGTCCGCCTGCGATATACTCCAGGTGCCCCTTCCTTGCCTCCACGAGGTAGTCCTCCAGCGCGTGCGTCTCCTCGTCTTCCACCTGTGGCTCCTCGCACATCTCCCTGGCCGAGTTGACCATCTGGGTGGTAGTGGCCCCGGACTTCTAACCTTCGCTTCCTTCTCCGCCTTGACGTTCTCGCTCGGGGCCCCACCCTGCCGGCGGAATGCCCCCTGGCTGCGGCGGCGCCGCCCTCGGCGTCGACGGTCCTGCCAACTCGTCCCCGGGCCTCTTCGCCCCCCACCGCCTCTTGTCCATGACCGCGTCGTCGCGCGGTGCAACCGCTGCTGCTGCTGCTGCTGCTGGTTGTGGTGGTGCTGGTTGTGGTCCTCCCCCCGCTGCTGCTGCTGCCCCTGCTGCGGCTGCCGCATTCGGGCCCAGGTGCTTCGGCAACTGCCCGAGCAGAATCGGTTCTTGTAGTGACCTCTGCGTTGGTGGCCCCCCCCTCGCGGTTGGCGTCGGCCCCCAGGGTGTCCACCTCATCTTGTCGAACAGCTCTTTGTCCCAGCGTCGGCTCTCCACCTTCCTCTTCACTGCGCTCGACATGCGCGCTCCAAGCATGTGGGTCTTCTCGTAGGGCGCGAGGTTGCGCCCCCCCCCCCCCCCCCCCCCCCTGACCATGCATCTGTTGCAGAGCCACGATGCATGCCTCGGCAACGACGCGAGGAAGGGGGAGCCGGGCTTGAGGTTGAGGTTCAGCTTCTTGTTGACCTGGAGCATCAACGTCCCCACCTGCTTCCTTACCGTCTGGATGGCCCTCTTGGCCCTGCCGTTCGCCGGGCCGCTGCACCTCCCCGGCTGCCGCATGGGGGTCGTCTCGCAGATGCCGTCCTTGATCGCCGTGGCCCTGACTGCCATGATGAACGAGAACTCAGCTGCTCCCCCTGCTTGCTGCTCCACTCGTGAGCGTCCAAGTTCGCCACGAAACCGCCGAGGCCACGGTGTAGACGTCGTCGCGACCCTCCTGGACGATGGCCGTGCTCCAGATGCCCCCTGTCGAAGCGTCGCTGCCCACCACGAACTCGAAATTGACGGGGCCCCCCTCGATGCTCGCCTGGCCGTAGTCGAAGCTCAGCAGTGGAATCAGCTCGTCGCGCCTGTCCTTCATGTGGGCAATGTCGTTGGCCTTCGCTGGAATGCCGATCTCACGCCACGGTTCAGCTGGGTAAGGTGCCAGCTCGCGCCTCTCGATCTGCACCGCGCTCGGCTCTCGAGGTCCAGATAGTCCACTGGCTGTCGTCTCGGGCCCCACCGTCTCGTGATTGTCGGGATCTGCCACTGGTCCCTCTGCCGGCGCATCCGCTAGTACATCTGCGGCTCCTCGTGATGCGACCCGAGGTTGCTGCCGCTCTCCTGGAGATGAACTCGTGGCCCTCCTGCCAATGCAGGCTGAACTGCGCATCCGTCTTCGCCCCCCCCCCGCCTGGTCGCGCTGCTGCGACTGCCGCCCCGATCGGCGCCTGTAGCGCCATCTCCTTGCGGACCTCCCCCATGTCATCGTGCGTCTTGGTCAAGCACTCCAGTGCGTAATGGTTGTTGGTCTCCTTGAGCTTGACCAGTCCTGCCGTCTCGTGCCTCAGCAGTCCTCCCTTGCCATCGTGCCAAGCCACGCGGTCCCCCATCCTGCTGCAGAAATTGCCCATGCTCATGATGGGCTGCTGCGCGCCGGCGACCTGCAACTCCATGATGATGCGTCTGTCGCCGGCCATGTAGAGCGTCACCGTCTTCGGTCCGCAGTGCTTCAGTGGCGCGCCGCCCGCGACCGTCAGGTCGGGGTTGCGCCCTGGTTTGAGCTCCACGCTCGGGAAGTCCCCGATGCCGCACGCGTGCTCATCCGCGCAGTTGTCCGTCAGCGCCCAGAACGAGCGCCACGTGCCGCCCCCCCAACATGCTGTAGACCTTTCTCTCCTGCACCTTTGGCTTTGAGTGCTTCGTAACTGCGGATGAAACCACCTCCCCACTCTGACGCGCGCTCGTCCATCGCGGCGATCGCTCGAACTCCTGCTCCCACCTGGCTGGCCGAAGGTCCTGCTGTCGATGGTGCTGGACTTCCTGGTGGTGGCGTGCAGATGTTGCTCCAGCCGTCGCACATCGTGATCTCGTTGGCTCCTCCGATCTGTCCTTTCTTGACCTTCTGCTTACCCTTGTTGTAGTTGGGATTCTCTTGTCGACGCCAGCAGCCCCTCGCATAGTGCCCCCTCTGGCCACGAGCGTAGCAAAGCCTCGCCCCTGGTACTCCTGTCATACTCTAAGCTGGCTGTCGTGTCGCTGCTGTCCTCGCCATGGGATCCGCGCCCTTGCCCTTCTGGTATTTGCTCTTGTTCTTGCTTTTAACGTATCCACCCTTACCTTTGTTGTCCTTGCCCTTGCCTCTGGGGTGCTGCCGCGTCAGCGCGTCTCCCTCCATGGCTCCTGAAGGCCGCCTTCCTTGACCGCCTTCTGCCCCTGGTCCTGGCGCGCTCGGCCGCTTCTGCTGGCGCCGGTCCTCGTGCGCCGTCGCCGCCTGCAAGTGCTGCATCGTGGCGCTGATCAACTCATCGTAGCTCCTCTCGCTCTGCGTCTGCAGTGCCGTCCTGATGTTCTTAGAAGCCTTCTGCAAGTAGTTGCTCATCATGGCTCCTGCATTGAGCACCTCTCCGGATACCGTCTCGCGGCGCCTGATGTCGCGCCCCCCTTCTGAGCGGTACTGCTCGAACCCCGCCAAAAGCGAAGGGGCAGGCTTCGCGTTGAGAATCGCCGTCATGGTGCTCTGCGCCCTCATGGCCGTCGCTGGCTCGTAGCGCTTGATCAAGGCTCGCCACGCCAGCGTCCCGTTCAGATCCTCCACACTCTTGATCAGCATCTGCGCGCTGCCCTTCACTGTCGTAACCAGCGCGAATAACATCTTCTTCGATTCCGAAACTCCTTCGGCCCCTAAACGATGTTATGGTTCCGCCATGCTGATGTCCGGATCTCCGCGCTGCTCAGCCGCGTCCAGGAGATTCGGCGCCGGAGCCGTCTGGCCGCCCAGGTACGCCCTCATCACACAGCTCCACTCCGTCCAGCGTTTCTCCTGGCCGTCGAACGTTGGCGGCTTCAGCCCCGCGCACGCGCACTGGTACTCGGCGCCAGGCTCTGTCATGGTCGCGTAGACCTCGCCCTGCACGTCTGTGGTCACGTAGACCTCGTTCTGCACGCCTGTGGCCACGTAGACCTCGCCCTGCTCGTCTGTGGTCACATAGACCTCGTCCTGCTCGTCTATGGTCACGTAGACCTCGTCCTGCTCTCCCGTGGTCACGTAGACCTCTCTTGTACTCCTGTGGTCACGTATACCTCGTCTTGCACTCCTGTGGCCACGTAGACCTTGTCCAACACTCCCGTGGTCACGTAGACCTCGTCCAGCTGCTTGGCCACGCAGACCTCGTCCAGCTGCTTGGTCACGTAGACCTCGCCCAGCTGCTTGGCCAGCTGGTTGCCGTGGATCGCTCGCCCTGGCTGGCCGGCCGCGGCCGCGAGGGCTATGCGGGTGAAACGCCCAGCGGGAGCTGGCCGTATCCAGCTCCGCTACCATGATAACTGTTGGTGCCAAAAAGACTGCGGAAAGGGTAGCGTATCTGGTTCCCGTTGGAACGCGTTTAAACCCACTCTATCTACGGTTTCCTTCAACAGGCATGGAGACCCTCATTGACTATATGTGTGTACCGACCAGTTTGGGATGTACCAGAGCAGGGACGCTGGCGCAGCTATCGCGACGACTACAGTTGATCGGCACCAGAGTACGGCGAGACCATATATTCCTGAACATACAAGTCCAACTACCTGCCTGGGCTACGACACAGAGACAGACGACACACACAAAATGGGACAAGGACAAGATGCTCTAGGCATTCCACGGCTCAGCGGCGCGCGATAATTACAGTCTTGCAGTAGAAGAGCGGCTGCAGCAGGATGAGGAGCTGATGAGGGACCTGGCGTCGAGGACGCTGCCCGATGCATTGTGGGCACAACTCGAAGGAGTGATGATGGAGATTGGAGAAGAGTACTTCACGGATGAGCAGCGAGAGGATCCAAGATATGCTGCTCTGCAAATGCACAGTCGGCAATTGCTACGACAGCGTCAAGAACCTCGAGTTGCATTGGGTAATACCAGAAGTCCGACGGTGAATAATGTACCCGACGCCAGTCAAGAACCACATGCTGCTGAACTCCCAGATGAAGAGCGACGGATTTCAGAATAGCCGGGAGCCCTGCCTCGCCATATATATATATATATATATATATACATACATATATATATATATATATATATATATATATATATATAGCGGGAACGGGCGTTGGATTGGAAAGCATTTCAAGAAAGAACTAGCAATGAGGTGTGGGAGCAGTGGAGGAAAATAACATTATATAATGTATATCGCCTCGCACGGCGCGCAGCAGGTAGCAAATTTGGCACCGAACGGCGCCCCTATCTTGCCGCGCAGGTCGCACCACCGACAGAAATGGAATGGCTCGACCAGCTCTCACTCCCGGGATGCGAAGGAGGCACGCAGGCTGCGCTCATCCCGCCCTGGATGCATTTTGCCCGAGCCCGAGTTGATGAAGATTAAACCCCTGACGCGACGAGCCCCCTGAATGAACGAACTTTTAATAGCAAACAGCCAAGTCGGACGTTTGCAAACTCGAGAGATGGGCTCTGCCAGCTCCCAAGAGAAAGGCTGCGCCGAGTTGGACCGCCCCTGCTGAGCTTTTAGCTACTCTTTTGGCCCCGCCCACAGTCGCCTCGCACAGAAATCGTGGTTTGGGGCTCCAGAGCCCGAGCTAGACGCGCCAGTTTTTAGATCTCACCTCGGAGACGCCTGTCTCAGAGTAAGAACCTGTCTGCGCGCCCCTGTTTTTGGCACTCCAGCATGGAGGTCTCTTGGGCAACAAAAACTGACGGCGCCACCTTTGGGGAAATGGCCCCGGGGGTTCGAATGATCCACCTCCTCCCCCCGCTCGGCAAGGGCTGGTGCCCCACCCGCTCCACGACCCCAGAGATGCCAACCCGTGTGTGTGTGTGTGTGTGTGTGCGTGCGTGCGTGTGTGTGTGTGTGTGTGTGTGCGTGTGTGTGTGTGTGTGTGTGTGTGTGTGTGGGGGGGGGGGGTGTGGGTGTGGGTGTGGGTGTGGGTGTGTGTGTGTGTGCGTGTGTGTGTGTGTTTTCCATCTAACATCCCCTGGCCATTATTGGCCATATCTCTTTTCTCCTGCCTCTCTGCTCTCGCACATTCTGGCACGAGTCAGGCTCCGTGGGTTTAGGCTAGCGCTCAAAGCCCAATCAAGACTGGGCTGCACATCGGATGGGTCCACGGAGCTGCAGCGCATTGTAAAAAACAACAACAAGTTGTTATTGTGATTTCTCTGTGGCTTTCTCCTTGCCGACGTACTTCCAAGAGTTGAACGTACAAGGGTCTTGGCTGCAGATTTGAGCATTTCCATATAACTACACTTCATAGTGTGACAGTGCTGGAGTGGAGCCACTGCCCAGGTTCAGTGGTGTACCGCAAGCGCCATCAGTACCTATTTCGACGGCTAATACTACCAGGCCTCGAGGTGCGGTTCTGTTCCGTGTTTTCCATGTCCGAGGCTGGGCCGTCGCTACAGTCAAGTGGGGATGTTGTGTTTCGACGGTTCCTCCGCGCACGCCATTCCCTCCTAGCACCGTCATCGATCTCCATGGGCACCCGTGTGTTGGAGCAAGTTCGGGTTCTTACCTCTTGGATGCCCCCATTGCGTTCGACGGCTCTAGATCTTTCTCCTGATGTTCTTGACCCTGAATGCCCCGTCCAAAAGCTTCTGATTGGTATTTTGTTTCAATTGGTTTTGCCCACACCATCTGATCATATGTTTCTGGCCTTGGAGGTCCTGGAGTCGGAACTATCTCGTTTGGATTTTGGTTCGGATGTATCCTTGGATCTCACCACCCATCGGATTCACTTGAGTGTTGTGGTGCCTTTGAGTATGCTACGGTTCCGTGAGCGTCTCACTGGTGGACGGAGGGCACGAGAGCAAGTCCAGAAGGCACTACTTTGTCTCCCTGGGGACTTGGTGTGGGCTCTCAAGCGCAAGGGTCCAGCATCCTTGCTCCATTGCGCCGAGTTGCATGCCTGGTTTTCCCTGCAGGCACGTTGCATCCTCGCCCCTCCTGGTGTTCGAGGCCATGCCTTTATCTATCAGTTGGGCCTGCAGGGATGCTACATCGGTCAGGGTTTGCTCCAACGGCGTTCTTCTCTGGTGTCAGGCTCAGTCAGCCGCTGGCGTGAGCACGCGCGGTGCTTCTATCGCCTGCGAACTCAGCGTGGTTCTGTTCCTGATAGTGCACGTTATGGGGCTTTGCTGAGCTCTAATCGCACGTCTTTCCTCCCCATCGTGTTTATCACGCTCGCGTCTGTCAGGGAGGCGACGGCTTTGAAGTCCTCGTACATCGTTATCTCACGTCCTGCGGCCAATAACCTTTCCCCCAAACCCTCGTGGACTGGCAGTGGCAGAGTGGGTAAGGGTCCCCGCAGTCGGCGGGGCCGCCGCGCCCGACGACTGGACTCTGGCCTGGGAGAGGACCGATTTGAGCGTTCTCGCCTTTGGTTGGAAGCCCGCCTGCACTCTTTACAGAGATTTTTTCTGGACAAAACATCTACTAGAGCTCGGCATCTGGAATGGACTCAGATTTTGCGAAAACACTACCTCGGGGTCTATGATGAGTTCATGCGACGCCAGATCATGTCGGGCCAGCCGTGTGGACCTGTGGACATTCGTACCCCAGCCAATGGACTTCTCCTGGTGCGGTGGGTGGCGTGGAAACCCCGTGAAATTATTTGGCAGGATGTGGTGGCACGTCGTCGGCTCGGGCTTGACAGTTTATACGCTCTCTGGTTTCTTGCGGCTGCCTTACCATATCACTCACATCGTTCTGTCGTACGGGGTGCCCTAGCTGATTTTATGCGGCTCAACGACCTATGTCCACCTGCCCCAGAATGTGTTCTAGTAGATGATGAGTGCGAAGCACAACTTATTCGAGGTTGGTTTCGACAGGTTATTGGGAGACTAGCTTTGGTACGCCCATCATGGGCTAAGGCTGTTTCGGCTACTGTCTATGTCAACATACGCCCTGTCGTGTCAATCCAACGTCGCTGTGTGAATGTGTCTACCCAGATGAAATCGTTTGAGTTTGGTCAGCTGTCTACGCTCGAGTTGGAAGATTCTCAGCACATCCATGAAGGCCGTGATCTGGTTCGGCTCCCGTGTAATGGTCGTCTCCCACGGAAAGGCTCCGATGTCCTAACGTCCCACGAATCTTTGGGCCAGCAGTGCAGCAGTTGGTTGCGCCGTCAGCGTATCCCTGATATCTGTGCTCTGCCTCTGCTCCGTGCGCGCTCCAGGCTCATAAAAATAGCTTCGGGGACGCGACGTTCGGCCCCTCCTTGTGCAGATACCTTGCCCAGAGGCACATCAACCGCGTGTGCAGCATTTCCGTCCAGACGTACTACGACCGCGTGTGCAGCATTACCTCCCAGCCATCCGTTAGCCGCGTGTGCAGCATCAGCGCCCTGCGGTATCCTTCCCCAGTCGGCCTTCCTCGGCAGGCAGCGGGTCCACGCGCAGGGTTGCGGCATCATCTGGACCAGGACATTCTCCTCGGACTTTTACTGCGAGGACGCCCAACCCGCCCCAAGAGGAGGCGCTCAGAGCTGTTTGTGCGGAGTTGGAGGCCCTTCCCCCAGCCACTGGGATTACGGTTGAGGACAAGGATCCTCATACCTTGTGGGCGTTCGAGGTTGGGGCGATGGTGGTTCGTTGGCTTGGGATCCTCTCTGCAGCCCCTGAGCGGTGGAGATTGTCAGCGGCCCCGTTATTGAGTATTTTGTCTTGGTATAGGCTATGCTATGATTGGACCATTCCAAAATCGATGAGGGGGTGCCCTGGGAATGCCTCTGGTGCGAACCTCCCGTACGTGTACCCCACCATCAAACTCAAGTGCTTCAACACTGATGGATCAAAAAAGTGCAAGAAACCAAAGCATTCTTGTGTCAGGAATGTTTGTTCGTTTCTGAAGATGCCGTCTCGCCGACTCTATCGCCGCATTGCCAGGGCTGTCAACTTTTTGGTCGACCTTCTTACCCCTGGCTGGTCCTTGAAGGATCTCTCCAAGGCCCCCGAGGAGCTCTTGCAACATTCCGACCTTCTTCGGGGTCCCATTCAAGATCCTCTTGGGAGATTATGTTGTGCCAGCTGTCGATCGCCGATGTCATACCCAGGTTTTGTGGTTGCGGATGCAGGTCAGGCATATGAGACGCTGAGTGACCCTGTGGTTTGGAGCTCTGTTCAGAACCTCTTTGATCGGGCCCATCGTGCTTTCAAGATGAAGACGATTTCGGTCATGCACTCTCGCACGGCATCCGTGATTCTTGGAGGTTTGATGCATCGCCGTTATGTTGATCGTACTGTATTCCTTTTTTCCTCCCTCCAACGTTCGCTGGCTGGCTTCTTGGGTTTTAAGTACTTCACTCTGGGCAATGTTTCTCTGCACCAGGTATGTGGGGTTCCCATTGGTGGTCCGCTATCCCCACGTCTGCTCCATATTGTCCTGTCCCGAGCCGAACACTCTCGTGATGACAGGTGGTGGCAACGGCTTCGGGATTTCATGGCCTCGAGGTATGTTGACGACGTACATATGTTCAGTTTTCGGTTTTGCCGCACATGTTTGACACACATTTTGCATAGTACATTTCGTGGTGTCACCAAGTTTGATCCAGACGACAAGTTTGAGGTTTTCAGATCTGGGGTTGTCTATAAATATCTCGACCTCTACCTGCATGCCAGCTTCGACGGACTCAAGATAGAAATGCGGCACAGGAATGAGAAGTACGCCTTCACGGGCGAGTCGATATTCATGGACAAGCAGACTACCATACCGTTCCTTGGGGTACTAAAAAAACGTCAGGTTCAAGAGATGCGAGGGGAGGCCAAGGGTCGCCTCCAGTCATGGCTTCGGGTTGAGCTCCACCCAGTCAACATGATTATCCTAATCTCTGTGGATATGTTGACTTTATTCCGTCTTGGTTATCCAGTTAAATATGTCTCAGCAGTGTGGAAGTGCCTGGCTCCTCCAGGCCCCTTGCGAGATCTGATTACCCAATGTTTTCGCCTTGTTGTCGTCACTTCCAAGCACCTCATCCCTTCGGCCGACGCCATTGCGGCTCAGCTTGAATCGCGTGCCCCCCTTCTTCGGCAACATCGACTTAGAGGCCCGCCGCCAGGTCTCGACAGCACGATGGGCAAGAAGCCGTTCCAACATCCGCCCCAGCGTCCACGTCAGGACCATCGTGGCGGGGGAAGTCTCGGCGGCATGATGGCCAACTTCAACAATGTCATGGAGGACGTCCAGAGCTCCGGTGAGATGGCCTCCCTGGCGACGCAGATGGCGCAGGCCAAGCAAGCGCGCGAGAGCGCTGCTGAGCACGGCCCCGCCAAGGAGCTGGCCCAGGCGTTGGCGGCCGTGGTTCGACCTGCGGCCGCGGCGGCACCGACCGACAGCCGGTTGGAGGGCACGGTGAAGCGCCTGGCGGAGTTCGCGCTGCCTGGCTCGGGGATGTCTGGCCATGCGGGCCCAGACGACCACGAAGTCAAGCGCCTGCGTGCCGATCTAGATGCTTTGACCAGCCGCGTGGACGCCCAGTCCAAGGACATTTCTGAGATCAAGGCAGTCAGCACCGAGAACCAGGTCGTATGTAAGCAGACCCAGCACACGATGGCGAAGCTCATGGACAAGTTCGATCGTATCCAAGTCCCTGGTGGCGGCGGCCTTGGAGACCATGCAGTTCCCCCAGCGGAGGAGGGAGCCCCCGACCCGTTCTTCCAGCCGCAGGTCCTCCTTGTGGCCCACACGGGGGTAGCGACGTTCCTCGGTGTCCAGAGCAACGCGCAGTTCAAGGGAATGAAGGTTACCCGAGGGATGGTATTCCGTACGTGACGTGGTGGGAGTCCGTTTCCAAGCTTAAGAGCTTGGACCAGTGGAGGAAGAAGTTCGTTTCCCTGGGTTCCGTGAATGAGGCCATCCAAGACCTGGATAAGGGTGGCATCGGGACCTACCTCTTTCGCTTTCTGACGGCCGACGGCGAGATTGCCGCCAACGCTCTACAGCCAGCCCCGCCTGCCGCCTGAGTGCCCTCCTCTGATGATGAACGTGCCATGTACCTCCGCATGCCCTCTTCTCGTAACTATGCTAAGAAGAAGCGGACTAAGCACTCTTTTGACCACGCGAAGACGGATATTGATCTGTCTTTTGGGAGCGTGGTGAACTACCTGCATTCAATCATGATTGTAATGTGGTACGGGTGCCTTATTATGCTTCTAGGGATTTTCGTCATTGCGATTTGGCAGCCAAGCTTGCTGCTTGACGGGCTTCGTGTTCGTTTCTTGGAAACTGTTGATCACCTCGGGCTCGCACTTACCCGAGTCGTGGATCAGGTTCCCTATTGGCTTGGCAGTCGTATCTAGATGAATATTCTACGTGCACGTTGGTTCCAGGGCTTTCGTGACATTTTCGACTCCCCCATCCCCGAGGCTCCCAGCTCCGAGGATTTTAGACATAGCGTTGTGGACGGCGACCCGTCCTGCAGCGACCCCCCTTCTTTCGGGGATTGCGGAGACCTCTTGGACAGCCCTACAGGAGGGGCTGTTTTTCTAGCGACGTTTGCTGCAAGCATTCCAGTTCTTTGGCAGACTTCCAGGCCTTCGGGGGATCGCTCGTTTCTTATGATTCGCGCCGCACCGACACCGCACCTTCAAGAATGGGGGACGAGGCGAATGAAGCCCTCTGATCGTCCTTTTTCCCACCCATCTTGTGGAGGTTGTGCGTGTTTTCCATCTAACATCCCCTGGCCATTATTGGCCATATCTCTTTTCTCCTGCCTCTCTGCTCTCGCACATTCTGGCACGAGTCAGGCTCCGTGGGTTTAGGCTAGCGCTCAAAGCCCAATCAAGACTGGGCTGCACATCGCATGGGTCCACGGAGCTGCAGCGCATTGTAAAAAACAACAAGTTGTTATTGTGATTTCTCTGTGGCTTTCGCCTTGCCGACGTACTTCCAAGAGTTGAACGTGCAAGGGTCTTGGCTGCAGATTTGAGCATTTCCATATAACTACACTTCATAGTGTGTGTGTGTTTTGCCCCACCGATGCAAAGATAATGCCATTGCCAATTCCCTAACCATGATGCGGCGCATTCGCAGAGCGGGACGGCTTGGGCTGTTGCGCCTACATGATCTCACGAATGCGTTTGCGAGTGTGAAGTGGGCAGGCAGGCGGGCTGCTGCAGTGGAGCTGATGGAGGACGGCCTCGCACGTCTAGGCTGCCAACGTCCGGAAGAAGCCGCGGTGACTCTACAGTGCGAAGAGGGTCCCCGTTTTTTTTAACCAGGATGCAGAGGCATGGTTGGGGACCCGTACATCGTGCGACAGTTTGTCCAAAGTTTCCAGACCGCTATCCAGGATTGGGGAACGCGACTCGAGCGGGAGAGCCCGGTGGCGGGGGAGTTGGCTACCCATCACCCATTCCTGGTTAAGGGCGGTCGATGTGCCGCTCAGCCTGTGCGCCGACGACGTTTTGAAGTTTCTGATCGGGGGGCAACACCAACAGATCCAGGACCGTGCTCAGATGACCGAGCGAGCCAATGCCCTCCTGGATCAGGCCCTGGCCGAAATCGGTTGCAAACAGAATATGAGCAAGCAAGAATTAACCCCTGTTCTTTCGGGGCTTGGGTCGGGGACCTGCGCGCGTGATCTCAGGATGCAAAGGGCCACCCTTCCCGCCCCACACTGCGCCCGCGCCAGATATTTAGGAGGACGGATGGGGGTGTAGCTATGTATGCGCACCGCAAGAAGGCGGGGGCGGCGGCTTATCACTCCTTATGGGCTTTTTGGTCATTGGAGCACACTCCGTGGAGGGTGAAGCGCACGCTCCTAATATGCTGTGTACAAAACACGGCACTGCACTCGACTGAAGCCTATATTTGCTCCAAGCAACCGCATAACGAATTAGATCATTTAGTAGCACGACATGCTAGGAGAGCGATGGGAGGAGCTGCACACGAATTGCGATAAATAGACACTGGGCAACAACATCGTGCACTCAGCACAGCACAAGTACTGGAACATTGGCGAATGGCACCAGCGAGCCTCGAGATGCGGGCGCGGCGCCTTCGGAAATATCAGACCACGATAACCCACCAGCGGGGGAATGGCCAGATTCTCACCTCCACGCTCGGTCACTTCTCGTTTGAGGACGAACCGACGCTGACCCAGGTAGACCTGGAAAAAAAGAAGCAAATCCGTGGGCATTCCAATTTCGCGAGGATGTACTTGAAGGAGTATATGGGCTTGATGCGGAGGGCGGGCATCTTGGGATGCGCATTCGCGCGGGGTGGACACAGGCGCCTACTGATGAGGAGGTGAAGGAGGCAATGATTAACAAATCTTTCACAGTATTACGGAACGCAGTATACATGCCAGCAGTACCGCCACCATAATGGCACCCATGTCGACTGCTTGCTACACGCAGGTGGGGGAGGATGGAAATGTGGGTTCGTATTGGGCAATGGAATAGTGACGCACAGCTTGCTTTGACACATATATGGCGGTCACGCAGCATCGGATGGCCAAACATGGACAGCGTGATGCGTAGACTAGAACAGCTACCACGAATGTGTGCCCATTCTGCCTCGTCGCATTCGGATGTGCGAAGACGGCGCAGCGACGTCTTCTCTCGAGCGTGGCCAGAGGTGGACATTGCATTGGTCGCTCCATATATATCGGGGGGGGGGGGGGGGGGGGGGGGGGCGACATCGGGTAGTCTGTCACCCCTGTGAACTTCGGGCCCAAACCTTCGAGCAGCTACGAGGGAATTTGCAGAAGCACGTGCCGCCATTCAAAGTATTACCAGAACTGGTATCGACGCGGCCACATCGACCCAGCAATGTCCTCTGCCGCAGCCGCCCCTGCATCCAGCTCAGGCCCGGGCGGGCCAGCTCGCAAGGTACAGAGCCAAGAATTGCCCGCCGAAGGAGAGGGCGTCAGCACAGTCAAGAAGCTGCCCATCGTTCTCACAAGGCTCAGTTTGACGAGCGCGACCGAGATCAGGGACATCACAGGCGTGCCGTGGAATACGGTGCTCGTCGACGCAGAGTCGCACATCGCAGTCGACATGACGGCCCGAGGCAAGTCCTACCACGAGGCCACCGAGACGGCAAAAGGAGACCCTGCCGCTCAAGAGCGCCTTGGGCCGCCGCACGCGCAACTCTTCGCAGGCCCCATGTTAGGTTTGTCGAAGACCCAGATCGAGCTCGAGCCGACCAGCAAGCATTGCCTCGCGGATTTCTGGGCGAAGGAAGTGGCGGCGGGGGGCAAGACGCCAGCCGACCTGGTGGGCGAAGCGATGCACTGCAAGTGCAAGGCATCCAAAATCAAGGATGGCAAACCAGGCCCGGCGAAAGTCACGATTGCGATGAGCATGGAGTTCGGCGCGGCGCAGACGGCGACCATGGCGGCGCTGGCGCAGAGCGGCGGCGTCAAGATGCACGGCCCAGCTCCCAGGCCCCCCCGTGGAGCGGGCGGCGCAGGACCTCCTCGGGGTGCTCGAGGGTGCGCCGACGGGCAGCAAGGAGAAGCAGTAGGACGCGCACTGCTGCCGAGGCTGACGGCCATCCAGCGTGCGCAGATTGCGCAGTTCTCCCATCGGCTCAGGCAGATGGTAGAGCGAGGAGTTGTCACGCTGACGGCCGCGCTCCGACACCCAGGGGCGGCAGCCGGCAGCTGGGGTCGCAGCCGCCCGAGAGGCGGAAGAGAGGGAAGGGGGGGGGGGGGAGTGGCCGTGGTGTCTGTTTTCAAGCCGCTGCGCCTTCTTCTGGGAGCCAAACTCCCGCCCCCGAACCCAAGCGTCGAGCACCAATATGGTTTCGTTTGCTCTTTCTTTTTTTTCAGGAGGTCTGAGGCTGGATGTAGGAAGCGAGCCAGTTGTGCCCTGGATGGTGGGAGTGGCCATTGCGCCCCCACCGTCTAGGGCTGGGTGGCTCGCCCCGCCCCCCAGTCCAAGGAACCTCTCGCGGTTGCGATGGCGCGGGGAGGCCCCTCAGCTCAGTCGGCAAACGACGGTGCCTCAGACCGCCTGCGCAGCGCCCCCGCCTGCGCAAGCGGCCCCCAGAAGTTCCTCGACAGGTCCTCAGGGCAAGGACAAGTCTTAATACGAACGTGACAAACTTGTGAATTCAGCCAGGAGTTGCCCGGGCACCTCACGCGAACAGACGAACCGAGTGCCCCCAGAGCTCTATTTCGATCCCGATTTCTCCATGCTTTGCGCATTGGAAGAGTTCGCCCGTGCCGAACCTCCCGAGCAACCAAATCACGGCTAGCCTTGACGGCCTCCTTGGGCGTCGATCTGACTAGCGGGCCCGAGGGCCCCAAACCTGGCAAGGAGCTGTGGGGCGCCCCAACCTTCGCCCCAGGTGGGGCCCATCAGAACATCAAAACATGTAGGCTCGCTGCCACCCTGGGCCAGGGCCCCTTCCTCGACGCCCAAATCAGGCGCAGAAGGTCCCCAGGGGAGGGGCTCAATCTTTCACGCGCCGCCAGACCCTTGCATTGCTTGGCCCAGCTGGGGGGCGGCCCTCTCACGGCACAAGACTGCTGCTGCTGCTGCATTAGATTTCTGGCGCGGCAATGGCGGGCGGCGGGGGCGAGGGCGTTTCTTGCGCGGGGCGCCGACGCCCGCCCAACCATAGCCTCCACACCTGGCGCAAGTCATCGCCCAATCCCGCCCCGCTCGCCCTCGCACCCGCCCCGCCCCAGGCCTTCACGATGAAAAGGCTGTGCTCCTGGAGCCCCGCAGTGGCCCGCGCCTCCGCGAGTTGGCGCTCGGAACCTGCAGGCTGGGCAACACCGAGAGATGAGGCGAACTGAAATTGAGCAGCGAGCGCGCGGCTGGAGTGTCCCAAGAAGCTTCTCCCAGAAGCCTTTGCCTGCGGCCCAAGCATACTCGCACTGTGCGCGTGGGATGGATCGGGCTGTCAGGAACACGCCCAAAGAGACTCGTCAGGGGACCCCGTCGAGTCTGACCAGCTCTGACGGCTCATCAGCAAAACCTGGGCACCTCCCCATCAAACAGGGTCATCCCAACATCAACATATGAGTGTAACATGGCACCCCTCTTGGCAAACCTACCAGCATGATTGCAACCTTCTCGCTCCAAGTGTCAAGAACGATCCTCGATTTTATCAGTGAGCGTAGCGTGTCCCGGCGTGCTATGGGCCATCATCCCACGGTCGACAAACTGCCATTCTCGGGACTACACGAGGCCCTCGGGTTCGAGGAACTGGCCGACGGCGCCCTGTCCCAAACACGCGATCTACGAAGCCTTCTTGTTCCGAGATCTCAAGGAGGCCCCGGACTTCCGACGCCACGTGAAGAAGAAGGAGGAGGGCCCAGCCAGGCCACGAAGCAAAGATGCGATCGATGGCGGAAACTCGTTGGCGGCAGCCGTTGTCGCGAGCGTGATCCGAAGGGTCCAGCTCAACCAGAAGTCTCGAGACACGTTGCCAAGGAGATCGCTGCAATCGCCTGCGCTCTGGAATGGTGGGTCCTCCGTGAGCATGTCCAGCTCAATCGACACCAATGGCGCGGAGGGTAGTGCTCCGGGTCCGCGATCGCCCTACATTTCCATGTCAATATGTATGAGAATGATCCATCTGGTGTGCCTTGAGGTCGTGATTGTGACTGTTGTAGTGCGAAACGATGTGCGGCGCGCCGTCGACCGACCTAGATAGATACCGAAGCGTTTCGTGGCAAGATGCAAGGCCGACCGCGAACCAACACATTTGAGGATACTGCGGCCCCGGTCCCAGGAAGGGAGGAGAGGAACTGGCGAGAAACGTCTTCACAACACTCATACTGGCGGGGGGAGAAGGATGAGGTGGCCTGGTATTTCGACCTGGAAGAACGCAGTACATCGAAATCAACATCGCCTTCGTGGGCCTCCTGAGCAGCAGTAGCCCGAAATCCTCGTAGCACTGCCTGGAGATAGCATTGTTTCGGGGTCCGCACACTAGGTTCACGGTGAGACAAAGCTCCCCCATTCCAAGTAGCAGGCTCGAGTTCAGAGAAAGTGCTGCTACATGTTAGCAATCGTTGAATTCGCCAGTGGACAGGAGCGGCAGCCACAAGATGGGAGCCAGAGCTGGCCTACGCTTCCAAGCGGCGGTGCTCGATACTGTCACGGGTCATGCCTTCAGAAGCGAGGTTGTAGGTTTCCCACTCGATGATCGCGGAATTTGACATCCTCGGAGAAACGCGAACGAAGGTTTCCCAGTTGACACTGATAATGCCTGTGGCTTGTCCGCGTGCAGCTTGTGGCCCGGGTAGATGGCAGCCATGGCACGGCAGGTTGCTTCGTAACCAGCTCGCGGCGGATCTGGCAGAGGTTCTTATTCTCGGACACGTACAGGTCGACAGACTGGGCGGTGGCGGTGATGGCCCGTAGGCGATGGAAGCTGCCGCCCTCTCACCGTATCTCGCCGAAGGCCTAGTGAACCAGCCCAGCCAGCAGCTCCAAGGACGCGGATAATGAGGCGCTTGGCGGATGACTTTCCTTTCAGAAACCAACTGTCCTCCGCAAGCGTGGCGTCGGTGAGCAGGGGTTCGACGGTTTGGAACGCGGACTCCTTCCCACGTGGTTGGCACGAACAACAATAATGAGCAGGTCGGTCTTCATCTCGAAATTGGTAGTGGCAGCGGTGGATGGGGTGATGGGCTCGGTGCCCTGGACGAGCTTGAGCGCCTGCTTGAGCTCCTCGCGTTCCTTGTTGCCATGATGCCCGCTGTGTTGCCGAGGTTGGAGGTGGTAGCTTCCTGTCGAGAGGAACGTTGCTCCACCTGCAGGCTGAGCCCGTCGAAGTGAGTGTCGAAGGAAGCCTGCAATCTGCCCATGGCCTCCTGCATGGCACGCATGGATCCCATAATGTCGGCCTTGGTTTGGTCAACGGCCTGGCGTAGAAGAAGTCGGAGGAAACATGCCACTGTCGTCGCCAAGGGCGTCAACCTGCGACTCAGTGAGGGCGAGCGTTCCAAAGGTGGTCTGCATTCTGACCTTGTCCAACGATACGAGACGCAATCTGTTCACGAGCGCCGTCGACGGCCGACGACGCATGGCGGCCGTGCTCAGGCATGGGAGGGCGTCGCAAAATGCGAGTGCCAAAAAAGAGTTGTCGAAAAGGGGAGTGGCCTCCTGCAGGCCGAAAAGGGACGCCGCAAGGGCCATGTGGCTTCAAATTGAGCCAACATCGCTACGGCGAATCGATCCTCCCTCCTCATCCTCATCAGCATCATCATCGCCATACTCAGAAGTGTCATCGTCCTCACCATCATCAGCATCATCATCATCAGTAGCATCATCATCAGCATCATCATCACCATAATCAGCATCATCATCACCATCACCATCACCATCACCATCATCATCATCATCATCATCATCATCATCAGCAGCAGCATCATACTAATCATCAGCTTCATCCTCAGCATCATCCTCCTCATCATCAACAGCATCATCATCAGCATCATCATCACTATCTTCACCCGCATCCTCAATATCATCGCCATCCTCATCCTCATCAACATCATCATCATAATCAGCATCATCATCATCATCATCATCATCAACATCGTCACTATCATCATCGTCGTCGTCAGCATCACCATAATCATGATTTTCGTCGTCACCATCATCACTGTCGTCGTCGTCGACATCATCATCATCAACATCATCACCATCGGCACCGTCACCGTCATCATTATGAATAATATCATCACCATTATCGTCAACATCATCATTTTCGTCGTCATCATCGTCGTCGGCATCATCACATCATCATCTGCATTATCATAACTGTCATGGTCAGCATCATCATCATCATCATCATCATCATCATCATCATCATCATCATCATCATCATCATCATCCGCATCCGCATCCGCATCAGCATCATCATGACCATTAACTACTATCATTATCCTTTCTCCTTCCTCATCTTCTCTCCGCATCTTCCCTCCTCATCCACCCTCCCCTGGAGGGCGCGTGGGAGGACAAGGAGGGGCTGCTGGGGTGGGGTGAGGAGGGAGGAACACGGGACGCTCGCCAACCCTCGGGAGCGGGGGGCTGGAACAACAAACAACGCTTGACGTTTCTCTTGTGTTGCTTCTGTGCCCCGCGGGCAGCAAGTCAAGACACTCAGGATGCAGAAACAGCCCCGGGGAAGAAGCCGAGAGCACTGGGAGCAGGCGACTCGAAAATGATAGGGTCGCCAGAAGAAGGCGCCATAGAAAACGCCCCTCGCAGAAGCGGGTCCTTGTGGATCGCCGCCTTCCATCCCGTCATCAGCATCTTGCCTGCTCCTGGGGGGGGGGCCAGGAAGGGGAACTAAGAAGAAACAGAAAAGGAACAAGAAAAAAAAAAAACATAAAAAATAATGATAACACACAATAATAATCCGCCGACCCTGTCGGCGTGTGTGGGGTGTCTGTCTGGTCCGGTCGACGGGGAGCCTTCTTTCGTCCCCTACTTCCCATCCTCCTCTCCCGTCGGGGGAGAGAGAGAGAGAGAGAGAGAGAGAGAGAGAGAAAGAGACAGAGAGAGAGCCCCCTTCCTCGTTCGGGGAACGGGTTCGCAACTTGAGGCAAATCCATCCACGTCCTCTTAACGTCAAAGGGCGGGGGGGGGATCCCGCCGGGGGGGGGGTCAGACTCGCATCGCCTCTGGAGGTCCTCGTCTCCCCCGACCTCGCCGGTCATTCTGGCGCGCTGACCCTCCTCCGGCCCTCCTCCCCAAGTGGGGGGGGGTCCCAGGGAGGAGGGGAGTCAGATACGCATCCGTCCCTGTTTTTCCTCCTTCCCCTCCCCTCCCCTCTCCCACGCCAGTCCTCATCCGGTCCTCCTTGTTAAGGCCCAGTAAAGCGACCGGCGTGCTGACCCCCCCCCTTCGCGACAGGAAGTGCGTCGCGCATTCGTCGCCCGTGCGCCGCCCGTGCGTCGTCGGCCGCCGAAAAAGCCAGCCGTCCCCTCGAACGTGCACGTCGCCCTCGCAACGGGGCAATTTGGTGAGTGCGTCGCCAGCGCGGCGGACACCCACGGGGCGCATCGCGCGCACGTCGCCCTCTCCACGGCCGCTGAAAATGCCGGTCGCCTTCGGGAAAAAGAAAATCGCCCACGCTGCGGCCCTCTTGGCGAGAAGAAGGCGGCCGCTGGGCTACCTCGGCAGATCAGCAAATCCCTCTAACATTACAAATGCAGCGATGCTGCTGAACGCACCCCGGCGATAGGCCACCAGGTCCCCGCAGCCGCCGCCGCAGCCGCCGCGGCCGCCGCCGGCGCCAAAACTACCGCCGCCACGATCACCACAAACGGACGCGACCGCAACCACATCCACCGCGACGATTACGACCAACTCCATTTACCGCCAGCACCGCCACCACGACCACCACGCTTCTCGCGACCACCACAACGACCGACACCAGCACGATCACCGACGTGACCACCGCCAGCCCGCCCACCACCAGCGGCACGACCGCCGCCATCGCGACCAAGGCAACGAACGCGACCACGACCATACCGCCAGCGGCGGGGCCGTTCGCGGAAGGCGGGGGCGCCGCTCGCGGCGACGCGCCGCGGCCGTGGAAGCGGGGCCGAAGGAGAAAAGGAAAATGAGGAGGGACACGGGGTGGCAAGGGGGAAAAAAAAAACAAAGACGAGAGAGGGGGGGGAGGGACAGACAGAGGGAGGCCGGTAGAAAGGAGGAGGAGAAGGGGAGGAGAGAGGGAGACGAGGCAGGAGAGAGGACGAAGGAGGAGGAACGACAAAAGAGGAGGGACGACGAGGAAAGAAAAGGGAAATAACAGGAGCAAGCACCGCCCTTCCTGGCGCAATGGAGGACGCAGCCGCCGCCACTTGTGAACGGCGCAAGCACGGCGGGCCGACGGCCGTTGCGCATTGCTGCTCGGAGAAATGCTAGGGGCGGGCAAAGTCGCGACTGCGTCGCGCATGCGTCGCGCGTGCGTCGCGCGTGCGTCGCGCGTGAGTCGCGCGTGCGTCGCGCGCGTGGCGCGTGCGTCGCGCGTGCGTCGCGCGGGTCGATCGTGCGTCGCGCGCCGGCAGGGGTGCGTCGCGCGCGGGTCGGGCTGCGTCGCGCGCGCGTCGCGCGCGCGTCGCGCGTGCGTCGCGCGGGCGCCGCTCGGGTCGTTCGCGCGTCGCGCGCAGGTCGCGCGCGAATCGCTCGAAGGGCGCCGTGGACTCCTGACGGCGCGTGAACTGCACGGCCCGCCGGCGAAACAATCAAGGGACGCGCGCGGCAATCGTAGAAATAGCGAGACACGCACGTGAGGACTACGAACGCGAGGAGACCAATAGACGACATGGAGATGCAGCGCGTACGCACTAATCCATTTCAAGCGCACGCCCCGTCATATTTTTGACATCGGCCCCTCGCTGCAGCAATTTGGCGACGTCTTGCCCGCCGATGCATTGGGGGGGGGGGGGAAGAGGATGGAAGCGGGGCGAGGGAAGGGCGGGCGGAAATGGGAACGGACGGGCGAGGAGGGGGCGCGCGGGGGCGGCGCAGCGGCGGCGGGAGCGATGGAAGGCGATCGAAGGGGGGCGGCGGGGGCGAAGAGGGCGAGAAGGAGTTCCAGGAGAGTGGAAGGACAACGGGGGGCGAGTAGGGAGGCGGACAGGACGGCAGCCTGACGCAAAAAAACTGACTACAAATTTCGCAAACGGGACAAAACGCGCAGCGCGTTGGACGAGGGGAAGAGGAAGGAAGAGGGGGGGGGGCAGGAGGATTGGCGCTAAACGACATGGGGGTGCGGGGCACGATGCGACGGGGCGACGCGGCGCCGCGTCGCGCGACGTGGCGTCGCCCCCACCGTGGCGCGACACGCGCAGCCCCCAATGAACGCGAGGCGTCTTCGTCCTCAGCAACGGTTGGCGCCCCCGAAAATGAGCACCAGCAAATCCTCTTGCGCCGAATTGGAAACAGAACGCGTTGGTGGACCGTCGAACTAGAGTGCGCCGCGACCGCCAAAATGGCTGCTGGCGCACCGGCGTCGGAAACCTATATATCGCCAGAGAAATTCCGAAGTCGCGCCATCTGTCGCCCGCGCGCTCTGGGAGGCCGGGATTCGGGGCAGAGACGCAAACCGGGGCCGGCGCACAGGCGACGCTCGGGCGACGCACTGAACGAAACTTAAAGGGGGGGGCGGTCGCTTCACTGGGCCTTAAAAGTCCTCCTTCCCGGGGCGGGGGGGGTCTCAGGGAGGAGTCCTTTTCCGCCTCCTTCTCTTCCTCCGCCCCCTCCTCTTCCATGCCTCCATCGCCTCATCCTCCAACTCCTACTCCTCCTCCTTCTTCTCCCCCTCCTGGTCGTCGTCGATGTCTTCCAGGGGCGGCGGCGCCGGCCGTCAGGCCTTCGCAGTACTAATAAGAAGAGAGGCAAAGGGAGGGGGAGGGCGCGCGGGGGGCCTGGGGGGCTGCGGAGGCTAGCGAGACCTAGAAACGAGGAGGGATCGAGGAAGGAGCATTACGAGACGATTCGTTTCTCTAGCGGCAACCCTGGAAAGTTGTTGCGACGCCCACGGCGTGGAACGAAAATCAACGGCCCGAGCACCACGCCGAGACATCTCGTGGGTCGGCAGTTGACATCTGATAGAAATCCCCTATCCCAAGCCAGCGAGGGCGGCACGAGGGCGGGAGACGAAATAATGAAGCGAGGCTTAGGCACACACATTTTGCACATGGAGGGGGGGTCGACAGCAGTGGGCCTCGACACCTCCAAAACTTCGCACGTCATCTCCGCGCAGCGCGCACCCATGACGAGGCGATTGTTTCGAGCGGCAAAGATTATGTGCAACGACACCCTGGAAAGTCGTTGCGACGTCTACGGTGTGGAACGAAAACCAACTGCCCGAGCGCCGCGCCGACGCATCTCGGGGCTCGGCAGTTCACATTTAAAATATATCCCAAACCTGTCCCAAAGCTGGCGCGGGCCAGTTCACACATTAAGGTGCAGCGAACGCAAAGGCGCCAAAAAGGTTACCGCGACCGTGCGACACAGAGAAACGGAAACCGAGAAACTGTTCAAACGCAAACCCCTGGGAATCTTCGACTCGGGGCAGGCCGACGGAGCCCCAGGGGGTCCCGATAGCAGATTCCCGAGCAGAAAAAGAGCACAGGAAGGCAATATCTACTGCATGAAGCACCAAGGGTATTGTTGATACAGAAACCGCATTGCAGCCGAACTGTTTTTGAAAGCCGACGCCTCTCGGTGACATTCTCGTGCAGGCGCGGAGAAGACGGTAAACGCGATCGAGCGCAGCCGTATGCCAGCCACCCTCGGCGATCACACCTATGACGCGCCCGCGGAGGATGTCTGACACCAGCGTGTCAACCAGAAAGCCATGCGATGCAGGGTTCAAACATCTCACGTAGGAACCACCCCTACTCACGCTCCGGCCGAGCTCACGGCAGTTGGGGGCCCCAAACAACGATCCAGCAAGTGCTTGCGTTCACGTTTGGGTAGCGACGGCTACTGCCTGGCCCTCCAACAAGATAGCCTCTAGACGCTCCTCGCGCAGCTTTGCGCGAGCCTGGAACGCCCTGGAATGGCGCTCCCGGGCCTCGCTGAGGAGGGCGTGCTTCTCGCGACCCTGGAGGCTCTTGTCCGTCTTCCAGCCCCCCAGTTTCTCGATGGGCCCCACGTCGCGGACACCCTTTTTCATCCTGTCGTGCGAGGCCCCTGAATGGCGAGCCCGGCGCGGCACGACGTCGACCTGGGGGCGCGAGGTGGCCGCATTGAAGGTCCTCGTCAACTCTGGGCAGCTGAAGCGCCGCAGCGACACCCCCGGCAGCCCCTGCAGCGGCCTCCAGAAACCGTGACCCAACACGCAGCTCTGGTTGAAACCGTCCACTTTGTTGGGGAAGGCACCCTCGAAGGCGTTGAGGGCCACTCCCCAATGACTGCAGACCGAGTTCACGGCGCGCTGCGCCAGCGCTCTGAGCCCATGCAGCTGCGTGTCCCGCTCCATCAGCTCCTCCTGCAACCAGTGCCCCAGCCGCCGCTTCCCGCGCCGTTCCAGCCCGCGGACATGAGCGGGCGCTTCGCCCTTGCCGTCTGACTCGCCCGAACTGGAATCTGACCGCGCGCTCCGCTTCCGCGCTGCGCCGCCCGCGCCTTGCCTTGGGGTGCCGCGGGGCTCCGCCGCCTCCTCGACCGGCCACTTGAGCGCAGTTCGGCCCGACGGAGGCCAGAAAGGCACCGCGGCCCCCGCGGTCTTCCGGCAGCTCGCGGCTCGCCTCGCGGCGCCGCGTGGCCCGGGCGCGCGCCAGGGTCCGAACCCGCCGAACCG